CTAATCAAAGCTTTAAGGATAGAAACTCTGCGCACTGAATATTCACTCTGTATAGACTGTGTTGTTAAAGGGGGGCGAGCTGGTCTAGTGGTATAGTACCTACTAGAACTAAGCTTTGGTTAACGAAGTCCCGGTTCAAATCCCGTGAATCGCCAATATAAGTGATAATGCATCAACGTCTAGGCCCAGCCTAAATTAATGTAAAACGCCCCCAGAGCCTAGCGACCCAGGACGAAAAAACTATGTTAAAGGGGGCGAGCCTATAAAAGACGGGGCTTTGTTCCCCGAGGTCACGAGTTCAGATCCTACAAATCACCAATTGATTTTAGCTGTGTGATAATGCCACGGCTCTCTAGACTTAGATTGGAGTAATGTAACGGTTCCGGGCAAGAGAGCCCTATAAGAAGGAGGGGCATAAAAATACCATCCTGTTTAAGAATAAATCCTATTTATACTGTAGTGTATATACTGTCCCGTTATAAGCAACAATGTTTAATATACAAACTGTCCTGTTGAAGGCGGTATCTTCGGTACAGTGTATACATGGCGTGTTCACCCGACATTCGGACTTTGCGTGTTGTATAATACAATATGAGAGTGTCTTTAGGCGAGCTGGCTCACGTCAACTGCTTATTGGGCACAAGGATAAGAATTAAACTTTCATGGAATTAACCGTTTTATTTATTCATTTGTGGCTTTCAAGATTATTAACTTTGATATAGGGTACATCGAGGAAATATACGAGGTTTTTAGTGAATGTTTTAGTGCATTTCCCTACATGAAGAAGCTGTGAGTGTGTAAGTAGCACGCTAAGACTTATACCGGGTACTGATTAACTTATTATTTTTATGACCTCAGTAGCCAAAACCACTATGCGTTAAAGTTATTCGATATGTACATAAATGTGTTACTAAACCGCAAACTAAGAAATGTGTTTTTTAGGAAATTGGTAGCCTTTTAAAATCTTTCATTTGTCCGTCCATATAGGCAAATACATGAGAAAGGAACGTATCCAGCGAAGCAAGGGGTGAGCAAGTACAGTACAAGGGGAAGTGTACGGATAGTAAGTAGCAGTAGGTACCAGGTTCGAATGCACGACATCGCTGCCTTAGGTGTGTGTACTGAGTGTGTGTGGCGCTACCGACTGTGACACGTCACTACTGAAAATTGACGAATGCCTTTGGCGTGATAAACCTGGCCCTGCTTAGCTACGTATTTTTGGTACACTGTGTATACTATATAGATTTCTTCAAGATCTGTAGCGAAGGATGATCAATGAAACAGCAGATGGTGCGCATTTGCTGTTAATAAATTAACGTTTTCAAGCAAAGAAAGACCAAATGAACAAATGAAAAAATGAACATGTATAAGCCAGTTGTGATAGGTCAGTACAATCACAATGCTTCTAGATATTTGCTACAGCTTACATTGACGTGGTGTAAGGTATATCACTGTGAGGGTAGCGTGCTAGACGACAGTCCATTGATTCTATAAACAATCAGTTGTGATAGGTCATTACAATCACAATGCTTCTAGATATTTGCTACAGCTTACATTGACGTGGTGTAAGGTATATATCACTGTGAGGGTAGCGTGCTAGACGACAGTCCATTGATTCTATAAACAATCAGTTGTGATAGGTCATTACAATCACAATGCTTCTACATATTTGTTATAGCTTACATTGACGTTGTGTAAGGTATACATCACTGTGAGGGTAGCGTGCTAGACGACAGTCCATTGATTCTATAAACAATCAGTTGTGATAGGTCAGTACATATCACATTGCTTCTACATATTTGCTACAGCTTACATTGACGTGGTGTAAAGTATATATCGTTGTATGGGTAGCATGCTTGACGACGGTGCAGTAATTCTATAAACAATCAGTTGTGGTAGGTCAGTACAATCACATTGCTTCTACATATTTGCTACAGCTTACATTGACGTGGTGTAAAGTATATATCGTTGTAAGGGTAGCATGCTTGACGATGGTGCATTTTTTCTATATGTAATCAATTGTGATAGGTCAGTACAATCACAATGCTTCTATATATTTGCTACAGCTTACATTGACGTGGTGTAAGGTATATATCACAGTGAGGGTAGCGTGCTTGACGATAGTCCATTGATTCTATAAACAATCAGTTGTGATAGGTCATTACAATCACAATGCTTCTACATATTTGTTACAGCTTACATTGACGTGGTGTAAGATCACTGTGGGGTTAGCATGCTTGACGATGGTACATTTATTCTATAAACAATCAGTTGTGATAGTTCAGTACAATCACAATATGTGCTACAGCTTACATTGACGTGGTGTAAGGTATATCACTGTGAGGGTAGCGTGCTTGACGATGGTGCAGTAATTCGATTGTTTTCGTACCCTTACATTTAATACCCAACCTGTATTTTCGCAGTCACTTGATTTTGGCGCTCCTATTTCCAATCTTATGAATTTGTTTTGAAAATCGTATCGCAGATTAGATAAACGTTAGTTAAAACAATTAAAGTACCTAATTAGTTTACAAAAAATGAACATTAATTCATGAAAGGATGTTTACAGACATGTTCTTTGAGAAGTTTTTTTTTAATTGTGTATGTTGCATCCGTCAAGCTGGGTTGTTGTGCTATATTATGGAATAAGTTGAAACAAAAAATGTGTCTTCGTTAAAATGCTTAAGCCACAATCATGTGTCATTTGTCCTAGGGTGGGCAGAGACGCTCAGTATGTTTACATATTCAATGTATTTTGTGTTTAATCTATTTAAAAAAATATTGTTTGGCACGCATTGAAAGTAGCCGACTTCTAAAAATATAAGTTAGTAAAACAATGCAACTATACGACTGATTTTACGTGTAGTAAAAGTATTTAATAGAGAACTTCAACAGTGTATTTTTCTATTTCAAAACATTGTTTAATGCCTTTCCATTATAAAAGTAGGATATAGGAAATATATAACATCTATGTATGTTATACATTTTGTATAGTATGTTTCTTACTTGCCTTTTCTTGTGCGTCCTTTGAAAGTGTTGAGCTAGATATACTGAAGAGTGTGTAAAAAAGGTTTAGTTGCGACCTAAAACCGAATAACTGCCTTGGAACTCTTCTTTAAAATCATACAAACCCTTAAAAAGCTCTTATGATAATTTTAACACCTTTAGTTGAGCTAAAACCATCACCCAACGTCGTATATCAAGTGTTGACTGATTCATGTAGTTAGGTAGTTAGGTGTAGTTAGTAACATTGCAAGAGTTACGAGATTAGTTAGTTATGGACTAGGCTTTGTAGAAACCATCCATCGAAGGATCTGTATTGCTTGATTCAAGCTGTACATTGTTACTTGTTAACTGATCCATGTAATTAATGTTAATCCACGGACTTGATCAACTGTTCGCATCAATCAGTTCCATGACAAAATAGTTTTTGAAATTGACTCTTTGATTTGAGCATCAATATTTTATTCCATAATGTTTATTCTTGTGGAGTAAGTTTGATTGGTCCATGTAATAAAACAAACTGGCTTATTTTACAGCCCTTAAAAAGTCTGGGGAATGTATTTGTATGTAATGTACACAGATAACAAAATAGTGATATAGTGATACTTTAACAGAATTTACTCATAATAAATCATGTGCCCTACATTAATTTATAGTTCATGATTTTCAACAACATCTTCTGTCCCTCTTCACTTTCTAAAAATTCTAACTATTTCATCTTCAAAATCTATCGAACAAAAATTTCAACATCACTCAGAAGGTGGTAAACGAGCAAACTAGGTAGCCGTTTGACAACACGATAGCAAGTTATATTGGCCATAGTAGTTGAGGTAGGTAGTAGGGTTATAGATATTGTGTGAGCTGCAGTAATTTCCCGGTGGAATAGAATTAGTAGCTAACACGGAATCTGTGTGTTAATGTTGACTGGGGATCTATTTTGGTGTTGTAATGTAGAAGTTCGTAAATGATTTGGTAAAAATAGAACACGTAGGTGGTTGAGTGTGTAAAAATTAGCAATAGTTTTGGAAATTAAATTCGAATGGAAAAAGTAGCCTCCATTATTTTGTTTAGAATAAACCGTTACTGGTTAGAGATTTGGTGGTTCTTTTGTGAAATATTGAACCCAAAATATTTTTATTTTTAAGTAGTTTATAACGATATTACCTTATTCTACCTTACCCAGTAACAAATAGGTAATAACTATTATAGACACAATTTAGGATCCATTTAGACAAACATATAATGTTAAAACTTGTATGTTTCCAATACATAATTTAATATAGCTATTGGTGAAGGATGGCAAAGAATAATAAATAATAAGTTTGTCTTAATAAGCGTTTCTCAGGTACACCAGCTTTTCAGAACAACTTAGTACATAGTACATACTATGTATAGTATGACTTAGTATACATCGAACTATCCTATGCTAGTATATGGCTATTATCACTTAGAATGTCCTTATATATTTTTTAAAATCAGCTCTCTAAGTTTTTCTTTAAATTAACTGCTAGATGCAACAAACTTAAGGACGTCGGGTAGATCATTGTACAATGAGGTTCCAAAGTAGGAAAATCTCTACCTAGCAAGCTCTAGGGAAACTCCTGAGAGGTGAAGCCGCCCACCATGAAACCTTATCGCGAAGAGAAATCCACTCGGGTAAATAGTCGGGCTTACAAAGAAGCAACACTCAGTGGGTCATGCAGCAGGTCAACAAGCCACACAACAACTAAGGAATGTGTTTTCAACAACTTCAGTTGTTTCGTGCTGAGGATGGAGCACACCATCCGGTCAGCATGTCAGTATGTGCTCAAATTCATCATGGTACAAAATAACATGATGCCAAATAATATCTAAAAAATAAGTGATATGCCAGATGTTCATTCGTCACTAACTAAACTAGATCACTTCTATGGTAATGACTATTTATTTTAGAAGAGACACTTTTCCAAAGCTGTCACGACTAGAACATAAAGTCTTCAATTTCAATTGTACTTCACATCGAGGTTTTTATATTTCTTTGTTTTAAGGGCTGACATGTTGATAGGTGAGTAAATGAAAATGGGTCTTTGTTTTTTTTTTTTAGATAGGTACCAATAAACCGTTTTAGATATAAATCCATTCCCCTTTTGGCTTACTAATTTTAGCAGAGTAGCCTTAAAACCTCAATATACGGTTAAAAGTGTTAAGTCTTAAAGGTAGTATTTAAGTAATAACATTTTCTTACACATGTATACAAAAATTCCGATTGAACATAGCTGTAAAACTATCATTTAACCCACTAATCTCAGTGACCAACTTACATTGGAGTTTATAGAATTTGTTTCGGAGACAAGTCTAAAAATAACACTTAGTCTAGTTTCACCGTTTGTGGTTGATTTCATACACCAAATCGTACCAACCTATATGTTCAAAAACTTAATCCTAAACTGTAACTCTAATTCAAATAGCATCATGTCCTTAAAACCCACTACGCAGCAGTATTCCCCCAGTCTGAAGTTTTTCTATTCAGTCTATTTCATGGAAATACCTTTATTTAATTTTCACCTTCTTGCGAGTCGTAAAAACCAAAAATAGCCTTCAATAATGAACCTCCATAGCTAAAAAAATATCTTAAGTTATAACTATTTAATTCATTTCCTTCAATAACTCCTCTATACTAGTGATTTCCTTAGGCATGGGCTGATTGGGGTCCCAAAACTTGTGCTCCTCGTCATAGTGCTTGGGTAAGGGAAACAGGGGGTCGGTATGAGGAATGACGTCATGGCAACAGTGGATCTTCCCATTGGCCACTCCCCAATCCACCAGTCTGTCCATGGCCTCCTTCATAACGTCTGGAACAGGCTTGGCTGAAACATAATGCATCTTTTTGTTACGTTATTTTTACATTCTAGAAAACAAGCCTCTAGCGTGGAACAGACTTCCCAAAACTCCATACTAGGTCCAAATGATTGCGACATTTTCATGGCAAAAGCCATTGTGATTGACAGGATGTAAACGTGGAAAGGGGACACCGAAATCCGAACGTGTAGGTAGAACAAAAGAGGGGTCATTGCAAATCAGGAATTTAGGAAGAAAAATGGAACTGCATTACACGGGAACGGCTGTTAAGTAAATAAATGTGCACGGAGCTTGTGTGTCTTGGTGTGCTGGGAAATATCCCATATAATACAAACGGGTTTAAGAATTGACTTATAGATACCATATTGAAAGACCAATATAAAGTAACCGTAGCAAATAATTTATTCAAGTAGAAAATATTTGTATGAGCCCCTCACAATCTGAGGTCTTCTCTATTTTCTATCAACAGACCATACTCGTTTAGAAACAGAACTCCCCAACATTGTTCTTATCCTCGTCAAGTTTGATTTCAGAACTACTTACCAATATAGTACCACGACATTTTACCAAGGTAGTTCCAGGCTCACCAACTTAGCTCCAGAACTAACAAACGTAGTTTCATGACTAACCAATGTGGTTTCAGAACTAATAAATTTTTTCTAAAACTTAACAATTTATTTCCAGAACTCACCAATGTAGTTGCCTATGTAGGCAATGTCCACACAGTCTCCATTCAAGGGACGATACTTCTCTGGTCTTTCAGCGTCGTACTTCCAGCCTCGGCCCTCGTAGATGGATCCATCAGGGGCGACCATGAAACTAAACATAACAGTTTGAGAATGCATTTAATATGTTAGCATAGTGTACGCATCTGTACATTTAATGAAACCCAACCCGTCAAGGTCAACTTTTTCTGAAGGAAAGAAACTCTTTAAGCTACGATCTAAGTCTGAAAATCCTAATGCTTGACTTGCCAAATTTTAACTGCTGTTTTGTTTGCAGATATTATAAGTGTATAGTGGCAGTTTAAGGTTGAGTTTTATTTATACTCCCATTTCAATTTAGATTTGGGTCCAATCCCTACTCCTATACCCGTGGACTACCTACAAATCTGACCTTTGTAATAAGCTGAAGATAGTTTTAAGCATTGACTATATTGGATGTTTTAGGATATATATCTGTGTTCAGCATATTATTATTCAATAAAACATCAGACAATTATCACATAGTAAGAAACAAAGCACACGTCGAATCAAATTACATATCTATCAGCAGGATGAGGATGCTACTTGAAGATAATGTGTACTTAGTTGGATGTAGTTAACACACAGGGACTGTCAAATACTATTCCCATATCGTCATGTTTTAAATAGATGCAGCCATGGATCGTAAAATGAAACTATAAATGTAACTTATATCAAATCTGGTACAAGAGCTGAAAAACTCTAAAGTAAAAAATATATTTTTGTTGCTCTCTTATTTATAGAAACCCTTGTCACCAAATCTATTCTTGTAATAAACTAACTAAGCCTACACATTGATCTTAAATATACTAAATATTATGTCAATAATACAACTTTCACTTACTTCCACATAATATCAAAGCTGTACTTGGTCAAATGCATAGCCTGCAGTTCGTACACCAGTCTTTTACACTCTGCCGGGTTCTCGCATTCCCATGTATCTGTATATGTCTTCCGGACCGTCCCAACCGGGCCCTTGAACACCCGGACGTCGTCATCCTCCCGGACGTAGGTCCTATGGGCCATCCACTCCTCCCGGGTTACCATGGGTAGAGGTTCGCCAGGAGGCTGGCGGTTTCTCTTGAGAGGGTGTGTGTGCCAGCGTGGAGCCCGGCCGTCCTTGAAGTATTCAAAGGGCATTTCAGCCACCCCTAGGGTTAATATAAGCACATGTGATTAATTTAAGTACTGGGTTCATTTTTATGGATGAAAGAGATTAACAGAGAAGATAATTATTCGGATATGCAATTGAAGACAATATTTAAGGAAAGACGTTTCTGAAACTTCTAAAAAGTCATTTTTCAAGTTCATTGTTGGTGATGGTGAGTGGATGTTGTTTAAAGGTTTATTGCGGACACTTTCCACCACAATGGCAAAACAAATGTTTATTTTTACCATTGTGTTGAGTCCGCAATAAACCTTATAACAACGTTCTTGAATCCAAAGGCCGTTGAATATTTATGTATCTATCTTAAACATAACATATATAATAGTGTTGAATTGTTAGTTCTTCGTCTCTTTCAATACATTTATGTTTAAACTATCATCCAAGCTACTGAATCTATAAAATCCAAACGTTACCCCTGAAATTAAGTTTTGTGAAAATTATATTCTGCAGAATCATGTGACATCTTGATTTCATTTGTAAAATTACTGACATGTGGCGTGAATCCAAAAAAATAGATATTTTATATTTAACCTTATTTTATATTTATTACGAAAGGGAATTTGTGCCACGTGTAAGGAAAGAGTATAAGAAGAAAAATAGTATGACAAATAAAGAAAAATCCCAAAAGTGTTAAGGAAATAGTGTTTAAAATACATAACGAAGATCTTCTGCCACTGCAACTTCCCTTCTTTACTAAATAAAAAACTGTATAATATTCTCAATATTTTAAACACCATTTAATACTAAATTATTCAATTTTAGAGATAAATGTGTATTGGGTTTTAAACTTATTTTTAAGTTACAACATAGGTGATTTATTTTGATCAGCAAGATATCTTTAGAGAACAGTACACAATGTTAAACATGTAATTTTAATTTATAAAAATATTCGCAATAGTTCTGGTTTCATATGAGTTAACGAAACACAAATATTTAATCGTTTGTAAATAGTCTTAACATTATTTACTTTATTTCGAAATTCGTTTTTAATTAATCGTTTGAAATGTAGTCCAGAACCTTGCAATGACTTATAACGGATGTTTCATATAATACAGGTTTCTTCTATGTGATGTACACTGTAGCCTATAGGCCTAGTCATTTTTAAATTGGTTTATGTTTAATAAAGCGCGGTTAATACTAAGTATTTGATTTTAGCTTGAATTCGAAATTATGTAGGCCTATATGCAACGAGGGATTTTGTAGATTTCTATTAAATTATTTCTATGCCATACAAATATTTTAATACTCACAGTAATTTTTTATGTTTACAGAAGAATAAACTAGATGTCTTCCTCACACTCATGGTATATGACTAGGCTAATCTTATGAACGATATCAACCACGAATAACCGTTTGATAGTGCATCTATTCAAACAAATATTGTTAGATAAACTTTAACCCTTCCATCATTTGTATACCCGTTTATTTTCTATACCTAAAATCTGAACCATTATATCTTGTGTAAATTAGATGATTCAGTAATAAACTGTTAGTTTTATTACTTGTTATCTTTAAATTCCTGCAAACATTTTATGGAAAAACTATCACATATTGAAAACATCTATGGAAACTGTTTTAGGTATACAAATACACAGATTGTCTTAAATCCATTTTATTATAACCCTCAAATGCAAAATACGTTGAAGATCCTATTTTTGGGGGCTATATTAAAGTCACAAAAATTAAAATAAATATAGTCTTACACAATATTTGAATTGGCATATAAATTATCACGTTGTGAAAGTATTTTCTCACATTTACGACGATTATTCGCCACAACTATTTTTTTTATGTTATGTTCTTATGATGTTGCTTTCTGCACTGGTGACCTTATGCATAAACATAATTTATAATCATCGTACCTTTTACACCATAAAGAATACAGTGCAAAATTACATGCATATTTCACCATAGTATCACATAAAAGATCAGCTAGCAATTTTTTGGATAACTGGGTCCAAAATACATATTGTGAAGGTCGTAATCATATGTTTTATCGTAACAGCAATGAAGCTTCTTGTTGACGATTCCCCACTCAATGAGCCGTTTCAACGTCTTTATCATTGGTTTTGGAGGTTTTGATTCTGTAAAACATTTAAAGGTTATTGAATAGTATACGAAGTAAAATATACAAAATCTAATGTAAATATATATAGACCTTACTAAGCTGCCCTGATGCGATCACCGAAAAACATTTGTATGTATGTGCATGAAAGGTTACTGTATTATTCATCAAATTAAAATATTCATGAACAATATTTTAAAGTTACAATTTTGAAACTTATAAAAATGCTTTATCGATTTAGTCTCCATGGACACATTAGGAAAACTACATGTATTACATATTTTGTTTATTATAACTCATTTGTTTACAATTATTTTGAATATTCATTGGTTTTAATAGTATCGAATATTACTTTACCTTTCCACTTAACAGATAATAGACTATACATTTTAACAAATTGACATGCATTTTTATTCTATAGGGTTAAGTTTGATTACAGAAAATCTGCACATTATTGATAGTAACTCTTTTATACATTATTTTTGAATGCCTGCTTGTAATATCGTTTTGCTATTTCATAGGTATGGGAGTCTACCTGTAAATTTCGCTGTGGTAATTACAGCTTAAGCTGTAAATCTGGGCTCTGAACCACTGGGTCCCATCATAACATGATTATCACATGATGATTGGTGGAATTTCAATTGGTACAGCAAGAATAGAATTTCCGCACTTTAACCCCAAGACCAGCTGTTGTTTACCTTTTTGTCATGGTAATAAACAATACTGAACTGTACTCACTGGAGTAGTTTCCTATTAGGGCGATCTCTAGTGATGCAGTGTAAAAGGTTGTGAAAGGTTCTGCTATGTTACACATACCATCCCAGCCTCTGCCTTCGAAAATCCGGTCATCCTTACTGATCATGAAACTGTTCAAAACAAAGAGAAATATACTGTAACAATTCAATACCAAGTAGAGTAAAATCTATCATGAGACTGAAAATGGTAAAACAGCTTATGAAAAAAAAAAAATAACAAGAACCTGAATCGATCATTACACAGCACTACACCCAGTTCCTGTTGTGTATACTAACAGTTTTGCTGTAAACAACATTGTTGTCAGAAGTTTCGAACCCTTGTTTCATCCGCAAAGGGTAATATAATAAATTATATCAGCAAACTGGCATATAATTATTCTAATTAACGTACAAAACCCGCTTTTAATGGACAAGGTGTGGGGGCAACTATGATATTTCATAGGGTAGGTAAAATCACAAGAACTGCAATAACCTTTGAACCATAATTTTACTGCACTGAGGTTTGTACAATTTTGTTTCGAAATCTTAGGACCATATATGTATTAAATTTTAATTAATTTCATTGTAATTAATTTTGTGAAAATGTAATTTTCCGTTCTTTTATGGGTTTAATAGGGATAACCCCCTAAATATCGAAATTTCAAAAGAGTGAAACAACACACACTCACAGAGACATCCCTTCGAAAAATACTTTTTTGGGGTTCAGGAAGACATAAAACAGATATTTTGACCCAAAACGTAAACTCAAAAACTCTGAAGAAAACAATACTTTCTCCGTATATTTAATAGGTAGAGATAGGAATTAAAAAACTAAACAATCGAATGGATATTTGAAGACGGTATTCTCCAATAAATAAATTTGTTCTTTTTCCCTGGACAAGTGGACCCACAAAATCAGTATCAGCTTAAATCCATTAGCAATAATTGAACCCGTGATTTCTAGACAGAAGTCTTGCTTTGTACACACTGTATCAGCACATATACGATGTTGTAATCACGGAAAATCTCAGAAACCTCGTAACATGATTATTTTCCATAATTAGTGAAATTCGACCAATCTGGAGTCAAACGCAGTAGCTAAGAGGATAGCACAAGTACATTGGACGACTCTTTGATGCCTGTGTCAATGCAAAGTTGTCTGACGCAATAACTATTTTGATATGAGACAGCATGTTATGCATGCTGTTATTTTTCGTTTCCTCTTTTGAGCTATTTCTTTCCCCAATCCAATTATTATCCTTTGTAAAGGTAATTTTATTTTGGTTACGTTATATTATATTTTCACATTTTTAAGTTAACTCCACATTTTGTCAAACTAGATAAGTACTGTAAATATGTTTTTTCGGGTGTTCTTATACTCCGATTCGTTCATAAAGTGTATATGGTTCTAGGGGAAACGATTCCATACTCTCCACCTTACACTACATTTAAACAACCATCAATCAGATGAAACATAAAATAATAATGTTAGGAGGCCCAGATAAATTTCCCCTCTCACATCCCAAATGTTGTGAATGGACTAATTTCTTTTACGACTAGTTTATTCTTGTGTCACATACTCGCTACATTCTCCAACTATCACCTCCACTTCTTCTGTTTCACCCACTAGCCTCATTTCACTTATTCCTACTTCCTCCAACTTCCATCTTCGGCTACTCCAGAACATCTACCCAACTCTCTCCACTCACCTGTATCGTATATCCGGCTCCCCTTGTTCCTTCATGTGCTTATCCTGAAGGTCCTTGATTAAGTAGGCACAAGTTTCATGGCCCTCGCACTCCTCGGTGGCAGTGTGGGTGAAGTGCACATGGTTGGCCATGGAGGCCGGTGGAAACCCCATGTATGGCGGAGCGAGATTGTTCAGCCTCTGAAGGCCTTGGTGGCCCTCCGCCTGCCACTCCCATCGTTTCATGTACCCCGGGAGAGGTCCTCCGGTACGTTTCCGGATGTACTTGTTGAGAGGGTGACGATGCCACGTGGGTGGATCATTCTCCGCGTGACCTTCATCCCAAGGCATTCTGTCTTCTATAACACAATGTAACACTTGAGTTATTTGGGATTGTAGGAAACTTTCCTTGACGATCAGAAAAACTAAGTATTCACGACGTTTTGGTATATAAGAAAGTACCTCAAGCCTTTAACGGGTAGACCTACATCGGTAATTCAGAGCCAAGACTAGGTCGACTTCAAATTTTGTCGTATTACAGTTGAGTTCTCTGTTGGTTAGTGGTAACAGGAAAATTCAAGAAAAAAAATAAATAAGAAAGAAAGTTAGGCTAGGTTAGGATCGAAACACAAATTCTGACATAAACTATTAAGGTTAGGTAATGTTAGCTTAACTCAGAAACATATAGCAGTATTTAAAACACCAAATTTTAACATACATAAAATAACCTACCCTAGCTTCCGTAGCTTTCTGGGAAAAAATCCTGCATTTTCCTGTTATTACTAACTAACAGAACAATCAACTGTAATATGAAAAAATAAGCTAATCAAGGCTTGATCCAAAATACCAACAGAATATATTCGAAGAGCAGAATTTGAACATATTATTTTTTTAGTTTCTCTTCTTTATTATTCTCTTTTATTAAATGTTCTCATTGCCATTAACCGTACAGTTTATAGTACTGCTATTGTGATAATACTGTAATATCATACAGTCTAATACTAATATTTTTTATCAACAAATTAATGCACTTTTTAGTCTTACACAAAGTAAATATTGTATGGTATAACAAAGTTATTATTTAGTAAAGTTAAAAAAAAATTAATGTTTAAATTATTAAAGTACGCCCTTCATATCTCCTAGATAAGTGCAATCTTTTACCAACTTGACCAAACTTATGGGTATTTAGCTATTCTAAATGGAAAAAATGCTCTAGCTCAAACAAAATCACACTAGATTTAACAAAATAATAAAAAATAATATTTAGTTTCATAAACTTTCTAAATATTTGAAGTTTATATTTTGGTATCTAACCAGTGTTCCGTGTGTTTTTTTCATATATTTAATGAGTTAAAAGTGTTTTCATGTTAAATTATTTACATTATAAATTAGAAGGTATGTCGAATGAACATGTATTATTAGTTTATGTAAAATTATGTCTTACAATATTTTAAATTAGTTAAAGTTAACTCAATAGTTTGGTATACTTCAATTTAAAGTAATATTAATCAGGCAATTATTTGTCAAAAGTTCAATCGATTATAGTTTTATCAAATTGACATCCATTTTGAAGAAGAGTGTGAAATATTTCTAACGTACCCTAAGGTGTATCTCATTTATTATTTACATGAAGTAAGTTTTTCTTATAAATTAAAGTACTACGGAAACAAAAATAACCTTGCACATCATACAATAATTTCAATATCAAATTATTAGGTTTACTTGTTTTAGAAAACCAGTAGGCCTACCTTAATCTTTCTGTCGAATTACTTACATTTTTAGTTAGTGAATCAAACTTTCACGGTGTTCTAAAACAAAAATAAATTGAAACACACAAATTCAATATCACAAACAATAATTTAGCAATCGGCCCTGCATGTGGCGACTTCATATTAACTTGACGTATCAATGAGCTTATTTCAATGGAATTTTAAGTGGCTTTATCTTTTTTTTGCTATCAATAACAAACCGTAAATTGTTAGCTTTTCGCACATGCATTTTCACAAACGAGGTTAGTTTCCAACATTAACTTACTGAACTTAGATTTTGGAGCTGTTATTTTATTTATCAAATATAAATAGTCCTCGACGTAATAAGTATTATTTACCTCTTGTACCAATAATATTTGAAAATATACCGGCTACATTGGTAAATAATATAGAAAGGTTTTAGCATGCCAAAAAATATAATATGCATGATATTTACTTAAAGGAATAAATTATTATTAGTTTATAATTTATTATAATAAGGAATTAATAATTTACATGAATATTTGTCGCATATTATGAAGAAGCTACTAATACCGTGTTATTAAAGTGTTTCATTTTGTATAAATTCTACACAAAACCCTAGGTTGAAGAGAAGTAAATGGAGAAGATAAGATAGAGAGCAATAAAATACAATTCTTGTCAAATAAACTGAAAGTATTTTATACCTTGCAGTAAAAAGAAATAGAGCTTTTTACTCCAAAGGAAGTTTCATGGACTCGTGTACCCAACCCTCTTGGCTTTTATTCTTCAATGTCAGCTCAAAATATAAATAAAACTTTGATCTTTGTATAAATAATACCTCAGTATGCTTTATTTTATTATCAACTAATTATAGTTATTTAATTCAACATTGATTGTCAACTAAAGAAATATTGCGTGAGTTAAACTTTCATTATAATAACATTATTATCAAAATATAAATGTGTTTTAAAATGTTTGAATCACTTATCAAAGATTTATATTCAACACTATAAACACTATTCTTTCGTTGCGTTTGATTTATGAAAAATCAACCGGTTTTACATTTTGTAAAATTGTACAGTAATTTGTTTTTATAAATATGTAGGTGTACTGGCTTATTTGTTATCCAGCGGATACTATTGCTTACATAGATCTTTTATGCAAGCGTACATAATGATTAAGGTAATCATTTATCTTTCGAAAAGGTTGTTTACCTGTTTACTGATATTTAGTTATCATTTTATCGCATTTACATTAGATGTTTTTGTAATTATCTCCTATTATAGGCAGTTAGTCATCCCTAAACTGGTATTTAAGCATTTTAGTATTTTTAACGATATTTATTTTAATAAATTATAATTTACATTAATAAATCAAACTTCTAAGTTGTATATTTTGCTTTTTTAATTTGTGCTTCAGTGTCTATTAAGAGTTTTTATTACTATACCATAGACTTAAGAGTCTACTTCTTTAACCTATGCTAATGCTTTCCAACATGTATATAAAGGTACATAAACGTTAACATTGAGTGATAATATCATCTTATGGATTTTCTATGTTTATGGACCAGCTGAGGCAGATTGTAATGTAGCTTATGTTTCATTCCTGTATTTTACTGTTACGAGTGTTTTACATTTGTTTTTATTCACCCACTTGAAACCTATTTTATCGCAATAAATTTACTATCATTGCATATTGTCCAGAAAATGTTTGGCTAATGGCCTACTTTGGCCTTATTTGCCCCCATCTTTCTTACGGAATTGTAATCTGGGGTGGATGCGCAGAAGCGGACTTCCACAGGTTGTTCCGTCTTCAAAAGAGAGCACTCAGAATAGTGGCTAAACTACAGGTTAGAGAGTCTTGCAGGGCCGTCTTCAGGGAGCTAGGCCTGCTTACTCTTGCCTCTCTGTATATCTTGGAAGCTGCCACGTTTTCCAAATTTAAATGCAGCCTAACACAAGGCCAGGACATTCACTCATATTCAACTGTAAGACGTATTCTTACAATATAATATTAAAACCTTTCAAAACAAAACAAAATTCTAACACACTGCATATTATTTTATTCTCTTTCTTGAAACTAAAATAAAAACTTTTCCAACGTATTTAAATTATTCACCTCACTTTTCACAGCACACATTTCATGAGATTTTGGGATCAAGAGCTTTGATGTTAAGATAAACTTATTCCATTGGCATTTCACCTTTAGTTCGCGATTATTGGGGGATTTCTGAGATCGGGGAGGGGGGAGGGAAGGATGTGTGATGAATAATACATGGAAGAAGGAGACGGTAAGTGAGGCGCTGTTTTATTCTTGCGGAAAGTCTGCACCACTTTGAACGGTGGCCACGTGTACAATTTTATAAATATTACAAAGAAAAACTTCCAACAAATAGACTTATGTTTGCGAAAATGTTCATATTTGTATGTGATGGAATGGTTGGTTTTCGTCGGAACAAAATATATTTCAAATTTATGATAAGAAAACAGTAAGTATTAAAATATAGTTGTAAGTGGTGAAAAACAGAGCTTAGTATTAAATGGTTGTATAAAAAAATCGTCTATTGTGCCCGATGATGAACTGAGTAACTAAACGAATATTTATCTACCATCTTGCAATTGTTGACAGTATAAGTTTTACGCATCATTTTACCTACGATTGGTGGATGAAGTGTTTTAATAAATTCGTAAAATAGTAGTATAATTAAGTCATAATGTTCCATTATAAAAACTAACGTTTGTTTGTGTTTCATCTGTATCTGTATAAAGAGTCATTCCAATATGTTTACTTTAGTATTAGAAATCTCATACGTTTTAGAGTGGGTATTTGTATTCAGTGTACTCAAAACACAGAACATCGACGTACTTTGATGAAACTATAGATTAAAAGAAGTAGTGTCTATACTCCTTTTATCTATGATGAAACTGACGTATTGAATATCAAATTAAGTAATGAGCTGGGTATTTGAGTGGGTTTAGTATACGCAAACAAATTTATAGGTCAACAGTTTAAACCTGAGATAGGTTAATAGCTTTGCAGGTGCAAAATGGACCCACCTGTCCTATATCATAGAGCTAAGAGAAATCGCTTTGGATAAACTAATGTTTCCATGTATTTATATTAAGCTACTTGTTTAAAAATACGTTACGTTAAACCATTCAAATAGGATTTTTGTGAAATGGGTGATTTTATTACAGTCTTATGATTTTTCCAATAAAAATGCAGAAAAAGTTTTTAAAATCTGTTTTCAACACGTCTTAAGGACCATTTTCTGGGTTTTTAACCATACCGAAGGTTGGGTAAAGCTACTTGTTATCATAAATATTTCACCGACTTATTGTAATAAATAAATAAAAATCACATAATTCAGGATAATACAATTTCATCTAAAGCGATAAGGAAGTAAAAACAACAAACCTCTTTCTCTAAACCATAACATGATAATTCAATTTATTAACAAACCTGCAAACTGTTAGAAGGCTATCTAAAGAATACACGGAACACTGCGGAAGTATTACAAACTATAACCCAGTTCACAACTGACCCTAATACCGTCTATGTTATAAGCGGAGTGGATTTTAATGTAGACAAAGCAAACCACTTTGCAAAGTAGTGTAAGTGAGACGAAGAGGGCAACAGGAATAGAGAGAGAAGAAGAATAATCAATATGGCGGCCATCTGCTTCCTCTCATATCCTGCGTTGAAATTCCATCCAATCTAACTTTATTGATGTGTCCGTCTTGAATTTCGCTCACCTAATTAAATTAGTGTCCTTTTTAAATACTTCTGTACATTAACTTTGGCATTAAGTTAAAATTTTTTATAATTTTAAAATTACTTATAAATGTTATTGTTCTCCCAAATAATGACTGAATGCAAATAACGTAAAATGTTTCTTTGTATTACTTTAGTTTTCAAATAAATTTTATTTAAATCAAACAAATAATTAAAATACTATTAGTACTAATTACTGCACATTTTTTATGACTCCCCTTCACTTCCTAGGACGATAGCTTCCAGCCCTAAACTGTTTTACACAATTACTTCAGGCTAGTCCTAGAGGGTCACAGCATTATCACATTAATAAAACCCATTGGTGATTGGCGGGACTTGAACCCGTGACCTCGGTCTCCGAAGCCCCGAACTCTACCACTCGATTATCTGTTCCCAAACTTGACAGTGTATAGAGTGTGCAATATTATTCTAGGATAATAGTTCTAATTTTCTTTATGAATTATAACAATAATTAATAGTGGTTACAGATTAATAGGTAATTAATTCTGTAAAATTGTTACAACTAACTGTCTGTGACCAGATGCCGTAAAATTTTGTCTTTGAATTAGTTCAATTATGGAATTAGAAATGTATAAATTAAACAAATAATCAAATTAACTACTATCAGTTAACAGGACTGCATATGCTACGCTAAAACCTTTTAAAGTATTAAGAAAATTGTTGTTTATAATATTATACAATCATCCAACAAATACGAAAATATCTGATAGATATTGATTACAGAAAAATATTACCATTTTAAAATTTATTTCAGCAAATATTTGTTTTCCTGAAACTATTTTCAATTAACTCAACACAATTATGCAAAAGCCCTAAACATTGAAACTAATCCAAGCCAATAACAGGTAAATTAATCTACTAAATAAAAGGTATAGTTTATTAAAATAAATGCAAATAAGAATTTTAAATAAAATGTTTATCGTTTATACAAAAAGATGTCCTGTGTCCTTAGTGTATAACCCCTGAATAAAATATGCAAATCCTTTAAATCCATTTAGTATAAACAATGATAGTATTCCACCCACCAAATAAAACATTGCCTCGTTTTACTTTCAAAATAGGTATATAATTTTATAATTCCGCGTAGGCTGTTTTAATTGTACTCATTGGTGATAATTTATTTTGGTGACATTTTAAAACCTTTGACAATATTAGTTTTTGAAATATTCAACAATGTTCATAAAGCTTTTGTCAAATTAATACCTACCATTATGGAGGATCGAATTTATGTTCGCTGCGTTGTGTTTAGATAGAAATGTCAGAGGGATAATGCATTGGTGTAGGTGGGAAACGTGAAGAATAATAAAACCCCGCCTACGTCCCCGCTTGACTACCATACCTCGTAGAACTCTATGTTGTTTATTAC